AATTTTTTTTTTTTTTTGGTAGAGATGGAGTCTCACCATGTTGGCCAGGCTGGTCTTGAACTCCTGACCTCAACTGATCTGCCCACCTCTGCCTCCCAAAGTGCTGGGACTGCAGGCGTGAGCCACTGCGCCCGACCGAAGAGCCTACTTAATTCTGTTGAGCTAGAATTAAGGCGACTCCTATCATGGGCATGTTTGATCTCCTACAACCTCTACTCCTCTTGCTTGCTCTTCCTAATACACTCTTATTTCCTTTAAGTAGGCTATTTTATTACCAAGATCTAGTAGAGATATTTAGAAATATAGATAGGTTCAACTCAAACATTAGAAGTGGAAAGAAAGAAATAAAAAGAAATATCTGATAGGCCAAGTCCATCCTCAATTTTCTTTACTTTTTTTCATTTTTAAGATTGATTTAAGCATTTGTGGACTTTTAGCCTTCCATTTTAATTTCAGAATAGGCTTACTGAATTCCCCAAATTTGCCAATAATTCTCATTGGTTTTTTACTGCCACTATGTGAATGTTAATTTGGGGAACATTAAATCTTTATTCCAGGCCACCTCCTGAGAGCATGGAATCTCTATTTATCTGTGTCCTCCTGTGCTCTTCATGAGTCTCATCATTTTTATTTTTCCTGCTGCCATGAGACAGTCCCGGGCTCCATCCTCCGACTCTTGCCCTCATGTTCCCTCCTGCCCCTGTAGACTCATTCTCTCCCCTGCCCCTGCCCATAGGGCAGGGCGGGCCCCTCCAGGCCACATCACCTGGGCGACTCATATGCTCTCAGACTGGGCGCCAGTAGGGCAATGAGGGCAGGAGGGAGGGAAACAGGCTGAGTTACTGCCTGTCCCTGGAGGCTTCTCCTTCTGGCTGCTGCTCCTTACCCTCCCTCACCTCCAGACACCCCTCCATTCAGCTCTTCTTGGTTGTTCACTGAAGTGGCTGGCTGCTTCCCAGGAAGACTCTGGTTGAGTGAAGCTATGTCCATCCCGCAATTAATCAAAATTAATGCTCAGCTTTTACATTAACTATGGCATTGGAAACATCCCACTTAAAGAGAAGGCTTTAAAAAACATTTCAATTGTTTTCAACCTACAGAAAGCATTTTTAAAATTTCAGGTCTTATCAGTTTAGACTACCCTTTTCTGAGTGATGCACAGGTTAATTTGTTCTTAGAACTCAAGGTTTTGTTTCCTTCACATTCAAACATAGTGCAGCATTGCTCCCTGGGAGAACAGGTGTGAATGAAAAGACATCTCCTGCGAGCTTCTGTCAGACAGAAATTATAATAAAATGCCTTGCCTTCAGTTTAGAGCAAAGGTCCATCGTAAGTCTGTAGAGTATCTTCAGGTTCTCACGTACGTTCTGATTCTTTAAAAGAGCAAAAGTGTTTTTAAAAATCAGATAAACTTGGTGGCAGTGCTCATCACAGTCTGGAACTGGCACGACTTGAACAATTTTTCCTAGGAAAATCCCATGGGGCTTTCAGTGGCGGATGTCATGTAAGTGGTAGTGTGTCACCCAAAACCTCAACTGAACAAATCCCCATCTACACAGAAAGTGCTTCTACTGTGCAAGCGCAGGCTATCCATAGGTGGACACTTCCTCCCAACCTAAGGTATTTCCTTATTTTACAAATCGAGAAACAGAACCACAAAGAAGCCTAGTGCCTCAGGTGCAAGGATTAAATGGTAGCAGGGAGAGGAGAATGCAGACCTGGCCTCTCTCGAGTCCACGGCTCCATTCTATCAGCCTTACTGCCCTGCACCCACATAGAGCTGCTGCCACGTTCCACTTACCCCTCCATTCTCAGCCCAGGAGATGCATACAGAGGCCCTGGGAGATGACAAACACGGGTCTGTGTTTGACTGACAAAGAGGGAGATGGGATGAGATGAGCCCCTCAATACAGAGTCTCATTCTCCTTCCCCTAACATGGAGCCCCAGGACCTCTTCTTCAACACCCCATCCTGCCAAACAAACCCCCCAACTCCAGCCCACTCAGACTCAGTTTTCTGCTAAAGGCTTGAGATTAGAGTGAACATCCCAGTGGACCAGTGGCTGGCCCCACACGTCCCGGCACTGTTTTCCAGTCAACCTGGTTGTGGCTCTCCTGTGAATATCAGGAGAACATCCTGTAGAAGAGCCCCTCCACGTCAAGTTCTTGGCTGCCACCTGGCAGAATTCTCCACCTCTTTGGAGAGCAGGGTGTTGATTAACCTGTGATCACGTAGATTAATGGCTGGACTTCCATTTCCCACCCTCATCCATGCACTGCATGGCTCAACTACACATATCTGGCCGATGAGACACAAACAGAACTGCATCTGAGGCTGCCTCTTTTCTCCCTGGAGTGTGGATGAGTTGAACTCTGGCCTTAATTTGACCCTGAGCAAGGCACATGTACCTTTCTACACTTCAGTTTTCTCATCTGTAAACTGGAACTGATAATTCTGAGATGGACAACTATTTCTTCCTACTATGTCAGCTTCTGTTTGGAGAAGTATCCCTGCCTGACAGCATGGATTCTGGGTAGGAATATAATCAAGAAGCCCTGCCTCCCTGGTGGGGTGTAGACAATGTTACAAGAGAGGGAATGAAAACCCTGTCCAAGTGCTGAAAGTACGACTTTTGGACAGAGAAAAGGTCATGGCTCAGTGCTGCCAACATGCCTACTGGTTCCAGCTCCCTGGGTCCCAGGGCCGCCTGGCTCCTGTTCTTCCCAAGGCCTGGTACTGCTTTTCCTCTGATTCTGTGAGTTACCCCATATCCTTCTGATAAGTCTCTTTTTATATTAAGGGAGAGTGTATTTTCAAACCTCTACTGGTACAAATCTTCACATCATAGATGATCTGTGAGGATGAAGTGCATGAACCAAATATCCCCAGCTCAGTGCCCAGTGCCTGGCATGGGCTTGCATCACCTCTTACTCCTAGGTCGGTGCCTGGCACTCAGCACAGGTTCACGTCACCTCTTACCCCCAGCTCAGAGCCCGGCACATGGCATAGGCTCACATTACCTCTTACCCCTAGCTCAGTGCCCGGTGCTCAGCAAAGGCTCAAATCACCTCTTACCCCCAGCTCAGTGCCTGGCACTCAGCACAGGCTCACATCATCTCTTACCCCCAGCTCACATCACCTCTTACCCCCAGCTCAGTGCCCGGCGCTCAGCACAGGCTCACGTCATCTCTTACCCCCAGCTCAGTGCCCG